AAATTCCTTGGAAGTTTATGCAAATTAATTATAACATATTGTGAAACGGTCACAAAAGTCAATTTATGAGGTGAGTCAAAAGATTTAAGAAATAAATGAAATAATTTAAAAGCAAGCACTGAAGACGTATATGAAGCTTATGAATCTGAAACTGAATTATAGGAACAAACACAAATACAGATTTAATGTGCAAAAAACATAAATAATTATTTATTGTTGTTTTAAATTATTACCAAATTATAATTTATTTTGTAATATGTATAGTGACCTATATTTAACCTATAAGTATATTTTAAAGTTGTGGTCATCAATATAGGTTGCTTTCAAGCAATTATTTTCAAAATTAAAAATTTTTGAAAATAGGTTAAAAACATCATTATGTCATGATCATTTAGAATTTCTAATACTCATGTTATTAGAATTGATAAAACTGGATACATATAGCATAAAGTAATTTGGTTAGTTTGTGAAAATGTATCTTTTATTAAAAAATATTTAATGGGTTAATTTTTTATATCTCTTTATAAATTATATACTTTTCAAAACACTTAATCAAAATTTTTTTGGGGACTCAACATCTTATAGATTGCAAGGGCTAGTCAAATTTACCAGTCTGCCACTGCTTCTCTCCAATTTTATATTTGTTTCAATGTTGAAACATTTAAATTTGAACTGCTATAAAAGAAAATAATTATTTTTACAATTTCTTTTCAAAGTATTTATCCTTTTATTCAAAATTTTGTTTAATCTTTGGCTTAAAACTCTAAATACAAGTTTTAAAATCTAGCTTAAGAAAATGAACTTTGTTTTTTTTTTGTATTTTTGTATTTAAATTGTATCAATTTTATGATAAACTGTATTGATAATATTTATTATTATTATTATTTTTTTTTTTTTTTGGATTTTATTAAAGATCCATATTATATACATTATTTATCATTTCATTTTTATAATTCTGAAGATTACATATATAAATTTAATTTTAATATGAACAAGTTTCAAATTTCTAAAAAAGTCCTTAAAACTATATTTATTTACATTGTTTTAGTGCTAATATTTGATTTCTGTTAAGTTATTTACATTTTAATCAATTAATTTTGCATTGTATTATTATTATTATTGTTGTTTAAATTACTGTATATCATCAATTTAACCATTAATTAACAAAACAATGTAATTGTGTGGCTGGTTGCCATCAAGAATGAATTTTGAAATATATATTTCAAATTCATTTGTGAAAGAGGTAATCTGCTTCTAGCTTTTATGATGTTTCTGAAGATGAGTGCTTCTCATTCATAAATCAATAAACTTTAATTATTTTTTCAAACTCCTTCAAGATATTTTCATTAATTTGGAATTGTTTAAACTTATCTATAATGTTATTATTTTCATCTACTATAAAAGATAATAAAATAAATCATTATAAGAAAAATAAATGATTTCTTATCCTAAACTTTATAAAATCAAAACTCTTTAAAAAATTTTTAAATCTTTTATTATATTAAATACTTTGAATGTTTAACGTCATCATTAGAGTAATGCAAGTTCTACAATATAGTTAAGAAATAAAATCTTTGAAAACTTTTGATATAAATAAAATATCTTAAGTTTGTTAAACTACTATTCTAATTTTCTATAAAAATATAAAATCTATTTTTAATTTAAAACAGTTTAATATGTTTTGCAACTTTATTACTTAACAAATAAAAATAGATAAATAATTCATTCAAAATATCAAATTAAAAAATAAGCTATATACTGAATAAGCTTATATATACACATATATAAAACACAATATTGCTGCCTTTATAATAAATTAAAATATTAAGCATCACAATATGGATATATAAAATATAGATGGATATGCAAATAAATTTATTTAAACATTTTATATCAAAGGAAATAAATAATACATATATTTTTCATGTCTTTATTAAAAAATTTCAGTTAAAAATAATATATTTATTCATAAATACATAAATATATAAGTTATATCTGTAAAGAGTTTTATATTTTTAAATGAAATAATATTTTAATTTTTAATGCATTTAAAAATTTTAGACATTAAACTTACCAATATTTTATTCACATAAGTAACATGATTTATAAAGTAAAAAATTATAAAATATGAACCAATGAGAGCACAGTTTTGGAGAAAGTTCATCTATACATAAATCTCCATCATAAAAATTAATTTAACATGTATATATTTTAAATTTTCATTCATTAATAAAAAATTACAAACCAAAGAATGAAGTTTAAAAATTTATACATAAAAATACTACTATTAAACAACCACGAGAATGTTCCTGTGAAGATACCACACAATCTCAGCATATAGTTATATATGCTTCATTACAAATAGTACAATATTTCTATTTTTAATGAAGCTATTTAACTATATGCTGAGACTAAATTAAGAAATAGAAAACTAAATTAAAACTGATAAAATAAAACTATGTACTAATATTAAGATACAATAACCATCTTATTATTTCAGTAACATTGTTTAGCAAACATTTCCATCTATAGTGATAAACACACCTTACTTTTCTAGCAGATACAAACATTTTTGGCTTTTTTGAGAAGCCAAAAACATTTGTAACACATACAATTACCTACTGAAAAAATAAGCAAGATGTGTTTATCACTACAGTTACATTTATTCCAGTTTGGATAACTCATTTTCAACTACTTGCTAACAACTCTAATTTATTCTTTTGAACATAAAAAAATTAATACTAATGAAAAGTTTATATATAAATCACATACATATATATTGTCATTAAATTCTTGACACATGTTCTAAAATATAATTTATTTAATTATTTTCTACATTGTAATTTTCCTAGAATATTGTTTATCCTGATTTTTTACAGGTTTGAGATATAAATTAAAATTTTTTCCACACTGTAATAAAAACTTGAAGATAGTTATTTAAATAGTTAAAAAATACTTCTTAAAATATTACTAGTATAATAAGGAAAATGTTTTTCTATCAAAAACTGATTCAATAATATTAAGATGGAAAGTAACTGAATGTTTCAACTCAGAACAAAAGTAGAGATTATCAAATAGAATAATATCCTTGTAATAACAATCAATTTTCACAATAAAGTTAAAGCATACAGATGTACTTTCTCCACAGACTAATTGCTCCAACTTATCTAATGTTTAAATTGAAAAGTGAAATATGATCATGCATAATAGTTATTTTAGTTAACCTTTATTTACTAAATATAAAGGTTACTACATTTTAAATATTGTAAAAAACAATCAAATAAAAATTGATGTATAATTTTAATGAAAACATTATGATCATGCAATATTAATTCTTCTACACAAAAGAATATTAATTTTATTATTGGTCCAATAATGTATATTTATTTCCTCTGTTTAAAAATTTCAGCTGGCTTGGCAGTGTTAATTTGAGAAGGAATATATAAAGAGAAGGGGTGTTGTGGTGCTTGTAGACAGTTAAATAGTCAGGCTGGAAAAGGGAAAGAACATTTTTGCTTTATATCTTGAAGCAGGTTGGCAAGCATTTCCAAAACCATATTCCACCAGTGAGAAGTGCAAGAGATTATTCAGTTTACTACTACACCAATGAAACAAAGTGCAACTTCATATTATTTTAGAAATTATAATTCATAATATATATGGCTTCAAGCAACAGAATTAAGAACCATAACTCTATTGTTAATTTCAAACTTAAGAAGTTTTAATCTTCATGCTATCATAAAACAGATTATAATTCTGAAGTAGTCTTATAATATTTAAATGTCAAGATTATTTACAGTGTTTTAAATATAAAAATGTAATATAAAATTAACAAAATAATTTTCTGTAATTATTTTTTGTTTTCAATTAAACATTTTTATAATTATGATTTTTTATAAATAAATCTGTAATTGAGCTTCAGTTTTAGTATCAGATGAAACCATTTATCAAATTCAAAAAATTCAGATAAATAAATAAAAAAGAATTTAACATAATATTGAACTTTATATGAAATTTTTTATAAATACAAAAATAATTTAATTATAGAACATATTTATATTCAATACAGCTTTATTTGTAAAACAAGAATTAAATGTAAAAAATTTTTAATAGTTAATGCTTGTTTTATTAAGTTGAAATGTTTTAAGCAAGCTTGTATTTTAACATTTACTTCATTTAATATTTAGAATTTTTGTTTTGTTTATATTAATGTTATATTTTGCTATCAAAACTATTGCAATAAAACAAAAATATAAATTTGCATAAAACTTCTCTTTTTATGAGCAAAAGCGATTTCAAAATGATGTATGGAGATAATTCAAACATATTTAACATAAACTGATTTTTGTAGTAAAATGTTTTTCAAGAATTGTGAAACAAAATAAATAAATAAAAAATAATGTTTAATTCATTCAGAATTATATTCCAAATATATGATCAAATTATTAAATGATATTTTTTTCAAATTAATTTATAATTTAAAAACTGACACTCAATAAACTTTAATATTACCTTTGCCTATTTAGAATACTTACAGACACCAATAAAATTAAAATTAAGTGTAGCAAGCTTTATTATGTAAAACTATATTATGATAATTTTATAATGTTGTTAATATAAAATTTATGCACACAAGAATCATTATTCTTTATATTTAACAATTTAAATTGTCAAAATTACTATATTATTTGAAATGATTGCATGCAAAATCATAAATATCTAGTTTAATTATAAATTCTAGAAAAATTTTTAAGAAATTAAATAAAAATAAATAAATTATACTACAGATATATTCATTACAGCATCAAATAAAGATCAATTGCATGCATCTAACCAAAAAACACAGATATTGCTGCTTGAAGCCAAGGGGAATTATTTGTTCAAGAAAATTATTTATTTCCCTGTTTATCATTCAATACACCTTCTATATAATATGAAATTGCACTGTACTTCTACAGCAGACTAGGAGAGCTACATGCAAAAGCACTAAGGGCCAATACCAGAATGAGGTCATCAGCATGGTCACGGGGGCGCTTCTTGCCGACCAAGGTCTCGACCACGTGCGGCTAATTAGTATGCAGAGCAGTTGGTGGTGATGTTTTGGCAGGTGGCAGGGAGTGGGCAGAGGTGGCAGCACATGATACAGCAAGCAGCAAGGCGATGAAAGAAACCAAAACAAAAGAGCAACAATTATGGTTCAGCTCACCATGTCAAAATGCATGCAGTATAAAAAGAGCCACTCACTTCAACCAAGAAACACTCTACTAATCAAAAAAAGACCTTGTTCTTCATAAACACTGTGATAAGTTAATGAAAATATGAAGCATTATGAACATTGTAAAAGTAATATATGAATGTGATTCCTTGTTAATTTTTTGTAATATTGAATAGCTTTGACAAACTGAAATTATTTTATTCCAATATATTGTTATTTTGCAAAAATAACACAATATAATCAACTGATCATAATACATGTGTTTCCTACACATAAAGTAAATCACAAAAAGAAATTTCAGAATATAAGTAAATTTTATCACACTTCATTCTTATTCATTAATTAATTTAATACATTTCCAATATAAAACATTTAAAATATATTTTTCTAAATATGATTAAAAAATATACAAATACTTATCTAATAGCAGATACAAACATTTTTGGCTTTTTTGAGAAGCCAAAAACATTTGTAACACATACAATTACCTACTGAAAAAATAAGCAAGATGTGTTTATCACTACAGTTACATTTATTCCAGTTTGGATAACTCATTTTCAACTACTTGCTAACAACTCTAATTTATTCTTTTGAACATAAAAAAATTAATACTAATGAAAAGTTTATATATAAATCACATACATATATATTGTCATTAAATTCTTGACACATGTTCTAAAATATAATTTATTTAATTANAAAATTTATTTTATTTAAATAAATTTTTTAATAAATATAATAAAAATTATTAATTTATTATTTTAAAATATTATTCCAAATTAAACTATAGTTGACTGGAATAGCTTATTATTTTTAATCCTTTAATAAACAATAACAACATAATATATGGATTCATAATTTATTGAATTTATTTTTTACTTTTTCAATAAATAATTTTTTTTTATTTATTAAATTATTGAAAGCTATTTTTTAAACTATTAATCTGTATCTTTTACGTATTTGTCCTTCTAATGGCTGACGAAGTTTTTTTTCATTTCCAAAATATCATTAAAAGTTTTGTCTAAACGTTCTTGGTATCTTTTACCTTCAAAACAGACTTTTGAAACCTTGAATAATAAAAATTTACAATCATGATTGTTTAACTATTGATAAATGCTTTTGAATCCTGCTCTGAATTTAAATATTTCATATTCTGTAATAAACATTTATGTAGATAAAAAATGGTATTGATAAAAACATACAAACAACTAAAAACTAAATTCATATTTTAAAATGCCCATTATTTTGATCTCATCAATATTTCACTTTTATGTATGTTCATAATGTTAAATATTACAATTCTACTAAAAGTCCAACTTATTTAAAATTATAATCAGTTTTATAACTTTAATTTAGATGTTTTCTTGATTGATTTTTGCACAAGTGCTGTTAAATTTTACTGTTTTCATGCTAATTACATTGCTTAACCCCTTTCTAATTAGGCATGAACTCCAGTAGCCTGTAACTGACATGAAATTTAAAAGTCTTGTCATGACACTGGTACAAAAAGTAATAAATTTAATTTAAACACAAACACCTAAGCCAGCATACCTCAAATTAACACATTAAAACGTTAGTAAAAATGTGTTAATTTGAGGTATGTTGTGGTATAGGTGTTTTTGTTTGTGTTTAAATTAATTTGTCCCAGTATTGGAAACTTATTAATAAATTTAATGTTAATGTTTTTATCTAAAATTGTATAAGTAATTAAAATTGGTAATAACTCTAAATAAATCTGACTTCTAGAACAAATAAAAACAATTTGATTCAAGAATTTAAAAACATTATGAACAAATACAACTTGATATATTAATATAACTAGAAAAACTGACAGTAATGATAGAGAAGAATTTCTTGTTTTTATTTTAAAAAGATTTTTGGTTTTTTAAACATTGGCTTTTCAAAATATAATCTTTTTAAACTTGTATATATGAAATTTTAAATATCTTCAATGAAGGCAAAAGATGATGGAAATATTTATCATAATGTAAATCATCTTCAAATTGCTTTTCTCAGAGTAAAAACTTTTTAGAAAACTCAAAATTTATCAAGTTATATACTCATTATCATAAGTCAATGAAAGAATAAAGATTGAGAGATGATGATAAATTACTATATAATACTAATCTATAAATAAATAAAGTAAGAGAGTAGTATTTTTATAACTACTTCTTATGTTAAAAACAAGAAGCTAGATATACCCAACAAGTTAACAAGACTATGGTATGTGTAAACACAATGTTTTAATGATGCTTTTGGAAATGGAAAAACTTTGCCAATTATTATAAGAAATTCTAGCAAAACATGGAAAATATTAAAAATCATATACATTCTTGTACTATAATATAAACTATGCATTAATCTTTTATTAATAAAATAAATAATCTAAGATAAACTGAATATGTAAAAATTTCTTTATATTAATTTGATTACATTATGACATACTTTTCTGTAAATCCTTTAAATAAAACTTTCCATAAACAGTATTATAAATAAGAGCTGAAAAGCATTAAAGTATATCTTATAAATATTTATAGTTTTGACACAAAACAATTTTTTTATCTTATTGAAAATAAATTTAACAGAAACACAGAGCTGCAAAAAAATATTAATTATTTTAAATTATAATAAATAATAAATGTAAATTAAATTAAATCTATGAAATATATATATATATATTCACAGTGTTACATCAAGAACAAGATCATAAATGGTTAAACAGCACCCTCACAAAGTCAAAAAAGTCACTCAAGGGTCCCATGCAGTGCATTAGCAAACACACATCTCCCCTTCAAAATCAATCCCACTTAATATATTTTAGTATTATATCATCACTGCTAAGCAAGCTTCAATAATCAAAGCTATATTTTAGCTGTTTATCAGAAACTGATATTGTTTTTATACTTGAGAAGAAAAATTCTTGTAAAAATAAATTTTTATCAATTATTGTTTCACATAGTTTATGTGAAACAATTATTGGAAATGATTCGAGTTTCTAGAAATTTATTTTTATTTGAAAACACACACACACACACACACACTTCTTCAAATCAATTAAACAAAATTTCAGTCATACATTAAAAAATAAAAATAAAGATACAATACTAACTGGGAGAGAGTATGATTTCTAATCAATGAAATAACCTCAGGCATAACATTGCATGAGAAAGTCATGCCAAAACAAAATATTTTATTTAATTTTCATTGTTGAAGAATATTGTGCTTGAATTTTATAAAGCAATTATAAAATTCATATTTAATATACATATTTAATATTAATCTTATGAATGTTTTTAATGATTATAAAGTAATTATTGTTTTAATATACAGTTATTAATGAATTCAAATATTATGTATTAAAACTCCCCAGTTTAATAATATATAAGAATGTGACTTATAACATTTATTTTCAGATTCAAAATAATTTATTTTTTATTTTAAAAATATATTATTTCATTAAATTTACATTATAATTATAATATAATATTTAATAAATTTATTTTTTTTAGAATAAAACTAAATTAATATTGTTTGCAAATAAAAATACTTAATGATTCTTTAAAATACTTTTTAAAATGTTGAAAAATATATTAGTTAATCTTCTACTAAATAAAATTAAAAATAATCATTGTGATTGTTGATGAATTAAAGTAGATTTTTAATCAAAATATTATAAAAACATTAGTATTATTTCAGTATAAATGCAAACTCTTGAAAATATTATTAAATTTCTTCAAATTTACAATTTTATCACATTGACAATATTTAAAATATTTATTATAAATTTTAGGAAAGCTGCAATATTACCAATTTTAATTCATTTCTTTGATAAAATGTATAGAAATTATTAATGATCAAAATAATTTTTTTACATTTAAAGATATTTTGGTGAATATTATATTACTATTCAGATGTTTTCATTATTATTATTATTATTATTTTAAGAATATCAATTATTATTATAACATTTTGTATTAAAATGTATTCTGATATGTTTAGTACTTGTGGAAGTTAACAAAAATAAAATGTAAACTTAATGTTATACTGTATATACTTTTATATTTGATTTTACATTCTTAACAATTTTTAGATAAAAAATTTAAACACTTGAAAATTGACTATTTTAAAGTATCAACTACTCATAATACGTGTATTACATTATTATTAAATTTATTTATTTTGATATCTGTTTTAGAACATTTTTCAATGTAAAACTTACACACACACATCTATATATATATATAAGTAGTTGCAAAAATTTGTTTTGTTGACTACTCTATATAATCACATCAAATTTTGTATAAACTTTATTTTAATATCATTGGTTATTAATTATTTTAATATCTTATTTCATAAAGCATATAAATTTATTTAAAAGCTAAATTTACAAGTTTATTAAGTTAATTATTAGTTACAGTTATCTCATATATATAAAGACTATCAAAAAAAATTTTTGTGTGTGTATTTAATTTTATATAAATTATATACACATGCACATTTTCTACAAAGAACCTGCAAAAGCTTCAGTTTCAGAATATACAATTATAATTGTTGGGGTAGTAATCATTTGCTATATAGCATTACTTTGCAGATGTAAATAAATAAAATAAAAAAATACATTAATTTAATATATCAGCATATCTGAAATATTTCAATATTATCCTACATACTGTATATACATTTATATAAATATTTATAACTATTTAAACTATTTTAATAATACATGTATATATATATATATATGTATGCATGTATTATTTCTTAAACAAATAAAATTCTAGAGCATGAACTTTAAATAAAGTTTTAACCTTTTATGCAAATCTTATAAATAAAAGTCCTTTGATAATTTCA